CAGTCTTGGTAGAGATATGTGTCCAATATAAATTCTGTGGAACATGATACAAAAGATAAAAAGCAAAGGTTCAAAGTACTGTTCACCTTCTCAGGGATTATTTATTAACTGATGAAAATGACATTGCAAAATGAACTTGGAGAAACTCAAGCCAGCCATCGAATTATGTCCTTGAGTTTAAAAATGACAGAAACAACAGGAGAACATAAGATTAAACTTAATTTCTGACGATTGTGAAGATATATTATGTTAAATTATTTTGATTACATGAGCTGCATTCCGATATAATAATGGCCTTTGACTAAATCATGTCTCCAGGCCATTCTAAACGTATTTGATGAAATATGAATTTCAAGAAATTGTCTCCGTTGTGTCATAATGCCAATATAGTCCCTATACCACAACCTGTCCAGGATCATACAGATCAATCAAATTGTAGACCTGATATGGGGCGGTGGGGTAGCCTAGTGGTTAAAGCGTTGGCTCGTCACGCCGAAGACCCGGGTTCGATTCCCCACATGGGCACAATCAATATTGCAAATTGCTAGACGGCGTAAACTGATCATCCTGATATCTGTAACCAGTTGTGCCTGTGAAACCATCGAACGAATGGTAAGAGTATATAATATCTAGTGTTATTTCTGGAAAAATCGCAGTATTGTCGTTCACCTCGTACAATTAGAATCCTTTGTTAAAAGCACTCATCAATTCTTTGACAGCACTTCTGATACCACACGCCGATTATAGGCTGGTTATTAGATGTTACATCAGAGATGGTACAATCACGTAGATTATCCATATGGTGAAACATAACCAGTGTCATATATACCATATGTGCACATATCACTTTTGCCTAGCAACCATTGTTGATGTATTTCGTCTGTGACGTCATTAAACAATTGAACGTGACGTCAATTAACAGCACCGTCACTCTTGCCAACTAAGTTTTACTGCACAAATGTAAATGAATAAAATTGATAATAAACAAATTATTACACTCGAGCAAGTGTGTCATACGACTTATACGAAACTCGTGCAAAATTATGTACTACAAAATCTCACACTCGTTTTGTATAAGTCGTATGACACACTTGCTCGTGTAATAATCTCTATATAAGCTATATGTTATGGAAACTATCGGTTTTATACATCTACTTGGGATGTCGATAATTGATGAGGTCAAATGAATATTTATTAAATGGTGTGAACATTTGTAACGATATTTGATATTCTAGTTCTTTTCTTGTCCTATTTTCTCGAGTTTTTATCGTTAAAATGTATTCCTTATAAGAATATATATCGTTCTCCTCACGATATGATAGTGTCACTGTGACATTAAATTTTAACTCACCCTCACTTTATGGTGATATATTAGAGAGTAGCCACAGTGTCAACACAATCGCTCTACCGAGAGACCAGGCATGTTTCAGTTGATAACATGTGCAAATACTACACTCGGGTGAGGGGAGGTAAATAAAAAATGTCCACTCTTAAGATCAGACAGAACTGGAACACATATGTCGGCTACTTAGAATATATTGCCCCATCTTTCGCAACTGCAACTTGATGAGGTGTACACAGATCTTATCAATTTTTTTCAAACTTATCTTGCAGCTATCAATGCCGAGATATGTGCAAGGAGCCATGTGAGGGATGATTGATATATTTTGAGCCTAGAATACAAAGACGTTATCAAATGCATTATAATGATTTACATTTCAATAGAACCTCCTTCCACATTGATATCTGGTGCCAACGATGTTGAACTGATTTTCTCACTGTTGATTAGACGTCCGTGTTTAAAATGTTGTCAGTTAAACAGAAAAACGTAAATTATATTGTCTAATATAATCGTCAGCAGTAGTGTATCATGCGACAGGTTTTTGATAAACTTTAAATGGTTAAAGGCCACATATTCAAAGTTTATATATGTCAAATGACTTAACTCTTAATCTACATTAATTTTGTAAAGGTCTGCAAGGTTCCCACATGTAGATCTGTCCAGGTCTAGTAAAGAGTCCCGTTTGCAGTTATTATGTGCCAATGTAATGGTAATTTAGGGCTCACAGTGGCTAGTGAATAGTAGATAACACACGGATGTGTAACGACCACTAAGACGCAACTCTGCAACTCTCTTTCGAGGTAGATCGGACTTTTATAGGTGTTATATTTCAAAGTGCCATTTAATATGGCTTGATGTAATACTTAGGTTCAAAAGGCCTGTGTAGTTTGTATATATGTTTGTGTCGAAAGAGTCCTGTTTGTAGTGTATATATGCGAGTGAAAAGGTTGATTTGGGATTTACGTTGCTACCATCGTCAGGGAGGGATAACAGGAATGTTTTCATCTAACTTGGGTACCATGCCATGTAGATGGCAGGGGTTTTGCAAGCCGGTCCTTCCTTGGCTGCTGGGAATCGAAATCCCCCATACATATTTGGTTGCCGAACCAAAGCAGTCTATTATTCTAAATGTTCTAAAAGTAGTTTGCAATAAAATCTGTCATAGTCTAGTAATTGTACTGCCTATTGACGACAGATTTTTCTAAATGTCTGTATCAACGTATACCATCATGTCAAGTTACGGTTAAAGTATTGTCGAAGTGACGTTAACTGCTTATTCACTCAATCACCTAACATATAGTTTTGCTCATAAAGGGCATTCATAGTCCAATTGTTGTTATATATATAAGGCTTAATATTATGATCACTTATGTTTGACGTCATTGTGCTTCTTTGCCCTCGCCATCTACTGTCAGTAGGTGTCAGAAATATAACACCTATAAAAGTCCGTTCTACCTCGAAATAGAGTTGCAGAGTTGTGTTTTAGTGGTCGTTACACATCCATGTGCTATTTACCATTCACTAACCACTGTAAGTCCAACATCACCATTACACTGGCACATAACTACAATCGGGACTATTTAGACCTGGACAGATCTACACGTAGGAACTTTGCAGGCCTCGCATCGTCTCGTAATTATTGTGCTAGTTGGTATATAATTTCATTGTACGTTTGGTTTTAGTTCTTAGACGCTGGGCTCTGTGAATAGTATGAATACAATGAATACAATGAATGAAGTTCGCTGTGTACAAGTACACAGATTCTGCTGCTTACATGTGAAGAAATATGTTTGCAACACAGAGCAGAGTGGGGAGAAGACAGTTTCACTTCGTAGTTGATTCATTATAATAGATGAATGCTACTCAGCTTATAGTGAAACTTAGAGACTTTTCCCAATTTACAGTAAAACCTAGCTCTGTGAACCGTTTTACAGCTTGCACACCATAGCTCTTACATGTGCTTGTAACTGGTGTGAAGCACATTTCTGGCGTCCCCTCTCCAAGATATTGCTGGAATATTGCTAAAAGTGGTGTAAAACTGAAACCCACTCAATCACTATATATACCCTACTTTTTGAGACGAAGTATATATCCGAAAGAACAGTTACAATTTATATTTTATTTGAATAATCATTATAAACTTAACATAAATATGCATATGGTGTTTCCATGTGAGAGTGGTTCCAAGAACTTATACCGCTGCCACTGCACTTTAATAGGGCTGTGTATTGGCAAATAATTGGCAAATAATTGCATTGCAATACATTGCGATTCAGGTACCTGTATTTCGATACGCATTGCGATATATTGCGAACTTTAGTGTTTGACAGTGAGTGACACTAATTATGCTATTTTCAGTCCTATTTTCTACATTATAAGTCCCTAAACGTATATATAGTTCTGCTAACAGCAATCTCAAAATTCATAGTCAGTTATTCTATTGACCTTTTTATACAATTCATAGTATTACAGTATGCGTTTTGTCACTGAATAACGAAGGAAACAATTGTTGTGAATGAAAGTGTGTAGATTTTAATGTAAACCATAAAGATAATTATAATCAGAAAAACTTCAAATATTTCCTTTATCCAATATACCGGTTCTCAGAAAAAATATTGTAATACGTATCGTTTGACTGACTGACTGAGTTTGGTTTTACGCCGCTTTTAGCAATATTCCAGCAACATCACGGCGGGGGACACCAGAAATGGGCTTCACACATTGTACCCATGTGGGGATTCGAACCCGGGTCTTCGGCGTGACGAGCCAACGCTTTAACCACAAGGCTACCCCACCGCCCCGTATCGTTTGAAAAGCGTATTGCGATATACAGGTAATACCGTGCAGTCTTAATCATTACCATTCATATTGGAATCTTATCCAAATCACGTCACCTCAAAATATCAATGAGATATCATTGCAAAGAGTTGCATTCTATTCACCATCAGATAAACAAAAGGAATTTGTTTGATCATCATGTATATACACGTGTACTGGCATGACAGTAAGGTGTCAGTGCTAAATGTATACCAATAAATGTTGACGATGTTGTGTCCGGTGGTTAAAATACATACGTGTACGTTTCGCCTAAAGCATTAACCTGTTACAACAATAGGCTTAAGATAATGGTGGAGATTCTCAACAGTATACTTCATGTGGCCATTTGTAATTTTACAGAAACATTTTTGCTGATATCGTACATATATATCGGCACAACAGCATCATTTGTATCTGATACAATACAAACAAAACATTACAAATCCTTCTTGAGTGTGATCAGTGAAAAATTCCCCTCCATATCAAGACATTTAAGACATAATCCTATCCACTCTGCCACGTTTTCATTTTACAAAGGATACGCCACGATAATATTCGTTTTATCTGTACTTTGCGGGATATGCTTACAAAGGAATTAATATCTAATCAAAGGAGTTTCTAGTTCTAATATAAAAAGCTGTTGTCATAAGATATGCCAAATGGCCGACTATATTTCACTGTACAGTCTCTACCATATAAAAAACTGGAAAATGTGACCCGAACACCTACAAAAGATTGCTTAACTCTTTGACACTCTACTGATTTGTTTCAGGTTTGGTATCTAAATAGCGGCAAAATAACATAATTTTTCATTTTATACAAAAGAAACAAAATAGTACAGTTCATTGTTTAATCTGATCATTGATACAAATCCTCCAAATCGTGACATTGAAGAAAAAATATGCATGATATCAAATTTTCATTTTACAAAGCATATGTGAAGTAAATTTCCGTCTTGTCTGTACTTTGCGGGGTATGATACAATGGATTTTTTTATGTAATCGAAGATCTTCTAAATGTTTCTGAAGGGCGAAGGTTTATCCTTTTTAAGTTTGTACAGAACAAAGAATACTGCACAAAGTGACACGAATGGACACAATATGAAATCGATGTAGTTTCCCATCATTCTAGGATACAATCCTCTTGTCATAAGATGTCATAAGGGCGATCTTTTATTGCCTCATTGTCTCTATAGTATATAGAAAACAGCACAAAGTAACACGAACACACACACAATATTGCTCAACTCCTTGAAACTCTGCCCATCAGTTCAAGGTTTGGTACCTGTAAACATGTTTTGATCGCAAAAACCAACGAAAGGTTACTTCTATAAGAACCGTATCATTAGCTGACCGAGCAAGAAATCTATAAGGGTCCCATAAATCACGTTTATAGGTTGTTTTATGATCCGTACTATTGAGAGAGCAAGGGATACGTTAAGTAAATATTCGTCTAATCTGTACGTTGCGGGATAAGAATAATATGCATTAAATACGTAATGGAAGGAGTTACCCATCTTTCTAGGATTCAATTCTCTTGTCATAAAATGTCAAAAGGCGAACGCTTAATGCTACACAGTCTCCACTTATACAGAAGACGGATACATTAAGTAAATATTCGTTTTATCTGTACGTTATGTATGAATACAATGCATTAAACATGGAATCGACGGAATTACCCTTCTTTCTAGAATACAATTCTCTTGTCATAAGATGTCAACGGGCGAACGTTATTACAACACAATCTCTACCAAATACAGAAGACTGCACGAAAGTGACAATACCACCAACAAAAGATCGCTCAATTTCTTGGTACACTGCCCATTTGTTTCATGTTTAGTACTTGTGAATATGTTTTTATCGTAAAAGCTTATATCTCTGGTAAATGTCATCTTGTGAGGTAAAATGAGATCAATGTAGGAATACTTTCCTTTGTTTAGCCCATGAAAGTTTACTTCTACAAGAACCGTAGCATTACCTGGACGAGCATAAAATTTATAAGGGTCCCATAAATCAAGCTTAAATGTTGTTTTATCCTCCGTGGTATTGAGAGAGCCCCGTAATCTCCCGTAGTGAAGTTCCAGTGACGACCCTGATCCCTCCCTAACATCAACGTCACCCAACAGATGCTGCCCGTATTTCCCAACATAACAATCTAGGCATTCTACGTCGGAGTTCGTAACATCAGAATTATTTTGGGTGCTTGGTGGCATCTTGCCCCATGGCGAAGGATACGTGCATGCCGTGGAAGAATTTAGCCAAGGTTGATCACCCATTAAAATATCAGAAACATAGAATGAGATAGTGTTTTGTGCAGTGACCTCATCCATTGTTTCTGGTCCATTGGCGCTTGAAAAGATTCCAAAGTCCAAGTCAGGGTAGAGTTTAAGGTAGGTTATGTAAGAATGTAAGCCTCCAGTGTGCATCATCTGTCTATATCCTGGAAAATAAGGTACAGAATTATATTACGTAAAAATACGAAAGTTAAAGTCACTTACCGACACATTACTTACATCTTTGTACATGTTTCTGACATGGTGCATTGGTCCATTTTTCTTTCAAAAATATATTGAAGTCAACAAGGGCAGAAAGTCAATGAATAATCAGTCTTGATTACATGCGAAAACTTTGGCAGATCATCTCTCGGTTAAAGTTAGAGGTATATATCAATGAACAGTCAGTGATGCAGCAGACATTTCCCTGAAAGACTTAAATGAGACGCCATCTCCATGGTTCGCCCAGTGATGTTATTGTTACTACTGATATGGAAAAATATATGATAATAAATAATAATAATAAAATAATAATATTATACGGTAACACTGGAACAGGTTAAAGCATTTGTTTACTTGTTGAAAAAAACAGCATGGTGTAAGTGGTAAGGTCAGTATCAGTATCTGTCTTTTATATTCTTGAATCCATAAAATCGATGGTAGCCATGCGGTTGAAGTGTTTCCTCGTCACACCAAAGACCACGTTCGATTCCTATTATGCAATGGTAATAGCCAAGTATCTCTCAATCGGTGTTTGATGTCTTGATTATTGCAATTGCTGATTACATCTACACCATACTCATTTCAGCCTGAGAGAATTCCAGATTGTTTCTTACCCTTATATGCTGATATAAACCATGCATAACCATAGGCATACTGCAAGTCCATCATGGGATACTTCGGCTTTGATGATATAGGATCGCCAGGAATACTCTCGTGAGGTTTGAAGACCTCCGCAAGTGTTTTAGACTTAACCAATGTGACGTTGTCTTCCGTCACCCCTTGCCTCAGTAGAAAGTGCATCCACTTAGCCATGTCCTCTGCTGAAGACGCAATAGCACCTGCGGCCTCTCCTGGATGTATGCTGTGGAGAAGCAAGATGGGGACATAAGCATACATCACAAGACTGCTTTCAACTGGGATTGTTCTTCATGCTGTAAATTCCTGAATTTCCTCGCCTTGACTTGGTTATGTACAGACCGCCGTGGACTAATGGGAACCATGTTGACTGATTGAAAGAATAATGATACAGCCACTATAATTAAATGGGCCCAATGGTTGCAGTTATTTCTGACAAAAAAACATTATACATCATTAAACTTTACACATGTAATGAAGGTGCGCTTGAGACATTTTGATATTCAAAACGTTTTTGAAATGTCAGTTTTTGATAGGAAACAACAAATATAGTTACAACCTGAGTAAAGTACCACTTAAATCCATAATGATGTCCAGATGGTATTTGTTTTCAAATGCAAAACATAAGCAAAAGCGAATAAATCCTACTCGTAAATTGAGGGATCCGTTAATATGAGCTTGTTCTCTACATTATAGTACGGTTTTGCCATTCCTGTTGCCTTTGTCGTTATTGTCTTTCCCAGAACACGTGACTGGTTCATTCCCAATGGTTTGAAGATTCGTTTCTCCAGAGTTGCTTCGAAGGCTTCCCCTGACAACACTTCCACAATACGGCCCAGCAGAGCATACGCCCAGTTGTTGTACTCGTACACGTCACGGAACGGTTTAACTTCCGGAAGAAATCGGAAACGCCTGTATAAAGAACAATAACATCAAGTGGCTCAACAGATTTGTAGTGTGCGATTACATAGGGTAAATAACATGCAAATGAATATATTCAGAGAAGGCATACTGTGTAAATAACAGTTGTTATCGGTAGGGCAGGAGGTGCTTTAGTTTGGAGAGAACCAGTCCTTCGGTTTCAATAAAGTGACTTGAGATCCGTTTTCTATAGTTTGGTGATCAATGAAATATAAATAATTACGACCGGCATGCAATCATTCATAAGTGGAGGTGTGAAATGTAATCTGATAGAGTGTCTTATTGATATCACTCCTTCACAGATAGGTAACTGGGATAAAAAAGAAGTGTTCAGAAAACAAATATTGGAGACTTAGAAGTATGGTTATTTGGCTTTTAATGGTATTTCTGGTATGTTATTGCGTGTTTAAGTTCACTTAATGTGGAAGAAAAGTCACGGAAATTCCATGAGCACGAAAATAGTTCTGATAAGTGTAACAAAATGACAAATATTGGATTTGAGAAACCGTTCAGTGGAAACTGGCAAGGGATTAGCAGACACCTTTGACGGAGTATTTAGATGACTAGACCATGGGAACGCTCGGTTATGAACACACAAGTGTCCTTAAAATTAAAGGGTTTACTTGGCAAAATCAGCTCTAGTGAAGTTCTTGGCAAATCCAGCAAATAAGGTTAAGACTGCAGGCTGGAGGCCGGTGCGATGGGACAAAAGATCCCTCAGAGTACCCTCCCTTGTTCTCTGTTCGTCCACAAATTCAAAGTCTTGTCCCAGTATGTCCTTCACCTTTGACGTCCATGTTAAACTGTAAACGTAATCGAAATGAACAGAAACAATCATTCACAAGGGTAACTAGATACATTCTCTTGTGTTAACTATCCCTCTCTTTACACAAATTGTTTATGTAAACCCAAAACACTCCCAGTAAAGTATATTTCCATTCATAAATATGGGTTAATCAAGAAAGAGTTCAAATTATATAACATCAAACACCTTTTAATAGATGTTTAACCTCTATTTGTGCAAACTGATTTTGGACAACATTAAATGATACACTATTGAGAACACTTAAATACACTTATTATTACTCGTCATTATACAGTACTCTATCACACAATGACCTACAACTGTAAAAGCACATGAAATATATATACCGGAAGTGAATACACATTTGTCTACTTCAAGTCGTTGGGTAGTTATTCTTGTGCATATGATTAGCTATTATTATTAACACAAAAGTGTATGGTCAGGTTTTATATGGCACAGGTCGTTACAGGCTTAAATTTCAACTATGATGTTACACACTCACCACGTTGCTTCTTTTCCGGCGACATTATCATTAGCATAAACATTTCTTAAATACCTTTCAGGGACTCTTACTTTGTATGAGACAGTGACCCGGCCATGGTTTGTAATGATATTTAAAACGATATTTTTGCATAATGATATGCATGTCAACGCAATGGTGTAATAGTTACGCAGGTCTTAAACGTCCATCGTGGTTTCAACCCATGGGCGAAGGTACTGTTATCGTGACCTGAACAACCTGTTAGACAGCATACTCTACTGCAGACATTAGTTCATTTAGATAACAGCCTATGGGCTAAAGGATTATCCGGATAGATTCCGAACTCACTTCTTTACCTCTAGACAGCTGTTTGCAGTTTTAGTACCCATGCCTATATATTCACCGTTTCAGTAATATTGTTAATTAAGGACAGCGAGTCTGTCACCTGATGAGCAACTGGAAGAATATATTATCTGAGTGTATTTATATCTCTCACATACCTCCCATTACTTTCATCAATCATCATGGCCAGGAGGGTACTCGTGAAAGCCTTCGTCACTGATCCAATTCCAAACAAAGTGTCCTTGGTGACGTTCACTCCCTGTTCTATGTCCGCCTGTCCGAACCCCCGTGTCCACGTCTCACCCCCCTTCACAACAGCCAGGGTCAGCCCCGGGATCTGTCTACACCTCATGACCTCCTCCACAAACATTCCCACCTTACTGACCTCATCATCGGTGAAAATCCCCGCCCACCCCACAGAGACAGCGGACATGAGCAGCAACGCTTGCATACACCACACCATCTTACTTGAAGGCATCGAAGTACTGCAAGCTGATCCCAGACACTGTATCTCGTCCTACAAACAAAACACGCCCACTGAGTAAAGAAGAAACCACCTGGACTGACGTAGGTGGAGATTCGGGGACAAAGGTTCTCCGCAGCAAAAGTATATCCCACAGATAGACACGGTGTGTTGTTCATCAGATAACAAGTAATACATACCAGCAGTACTATGGTGACGTCTGGAAGCCATGGGATGATAAAAAAGTCAATTGCTGGCGCAGACGCATTGTTCGTAATGCTAGGTAGGATTGTTGACAGTTAGTAATTGTGTTGTAACGAGCATGCCATCTTGTACCTTGTCCTGATTTCTTTCGTACACGCCACAGATAATGTATATTATTCATAGACAAAGTTCGAGGCAATATGTGACTACACGTGGCTATGGATATTACAGGAGATTAAAGTTATGGTTCTACATAACAACAAACTATTGACTTTCATGATTATATTAGTTAATAAACATAAAACTTCTAATATATCTTGGTGGCGATCATTTCAGGTGGAAGAACTGAGTGAAGTGTTGCCGTGATAGAATGAATGGGTTGAACAGTTTAATTTGAGAATTTAAACGTGAAATGCCAAAATGCAGGGGTCCCTGGGGTTTATCAGTTCGTTGCAAGCCAGCAGCGTGTGTATGGTTCAACAACAGCGCTAGCATGTGAATGGCAGATCAGAGATTGAAACCATCATCATCGGATTATGCATAAGGTAAGGAAGGGACTGGTGCCAGAGATGACTGACCTGTCCATGTTTCTCAAACATGAAACTAGAGCATTATTCAGCATATTTCTTCATGACATGGAGAAACAAACAAGGGTTCTTCCGGCCGTATCTCGAACATAGCTGTATGTTCCATCATTCCAGTAATGTGATCATATCATAGGCGGATCCAGAGGTGTGTGTGTGTGTGTGTGTGTGTGTGTGTGTGTGTGTGTGTGTGTGTAGGGGTGCGCACCCCCTCTTTTGTCCTGAAACTCAGGTAAAAATGAAGTGTGCACCCCTCCTTTGCTCAATAGTGTGCACCCCCCTTTCTGAAAAAGCTGCATCCGCCCCTGTTATATAACAGAATCAGTAAATGTTGATCTTAGCCGAAAGATATGTCCCGTCTCTAAATAAGACTCTGGAATAAAGAAGCCAGTGTTTGAGAGCATGAACATGAATCCAACGCAAACATTGCTACATAATCGACCAACTGGTCACTTATTGTAAACATGCAGTCTTCATTTGATATCAAGTTTGATTGGGCGGCTGGCTGGTTGTTTAACGCCTCACTCAGTCATATTCCAGCTATATGGCGGCGAGCTGTAAATAAATGCGTCTGGACCAGACAATCAAGTGATCAATAGCATGAGCATCGCTCTACGCAACTGGGATACGATGACATGTGTCAACCCAGTCAGGGAGCCTGACCACCCTAACCCGGGTCTTCACAGGTCACATCCAGTTTGAACCGAAGTCTCAGCCTTCTGACGAATTGTACATCTGTGTAGCTTACAAAAACCTGTAAACCTATTCGGTAGTGTGGACATGACTCCTGAAGGGTTTCTGGGCAAGAACAGGTGCCTTGTACTCCATGCTTGTCGAGAGAGTTGATAAAGGACATCGAGTGATCACTGTCTTCTAGTCGCTAGTATGGTGATCTACCTTCAGTTGCTGGCAATATATATCCTGTTTTTACCTTGTATTGCCATCTATAGTTACCCGGTTTTAGATCTAATTACTAGTTTTACATTCGAATCTGTGATAATCTAGTTATTTTACTGTCCTTCGTTGACAGGTTTTTACAATTCACCATTAATTACTATGCATAAAATTAATTGTTCTCGTCACGATATGGCTGAAATATTGCCGATGTGACGATAAATGTTAACTCACTCACTCACTGTCTTCTACCTCTGTAGGTAAGTCACCTCGTACCTGATAACGCTGATCGTTGTCTATATGTTCAGTCAATGGTCTGGCTTCTTTACACCACTCAACTACCAACTAACATTCCCAACCTCACAGTCTCCACTAACCGATGCTAATCGTACAAGAGACAGAAAGGATCATGTAGTTAGGCCTTGTTGACTGAGTGTATCGAGTGTATAATAATCTTCATTTACAGGGTATTGGGTACACTTACAATTGAGTAGGTCAAGGCTGCATGTCTGACCCGTGAAGGTCCAGGTTAGAATGAACCTTCAGGAACCCATGCTTGTCGTAAGAGGCGACTAACGGGATCGGGTGGTCAGGCTCGCTGGCTTGGTTGACACATGTCATCGGTTCCCAATTGCGCAGATCGATGCCCATGCTGTTGATCACTGGATTGTTTGGTCCAGACTCGATTATTTACAGACCGCCGCCATATAGCTGGAATATTGCTGAGTGCGGCGTAAAACTAAACTCACTCACACACTGCATATCTGGATGGGACAAACCAGTGATTAGTTTTATGAGCAACGCCCATGTACTGAGTTTGTTAGAGCTAAAACCGATGTAGAAACTATGAATGACGATCGCTGTGTACAAGTGCAGAGGCTCCGCTGCTTACATGTGAAGACATATTTCTGTTCTTGAGTGAGTGAGTGAGTTGGGTTTTACGCCGCTTTTAGCAATATTCCAGCAATATCACGGCGGGGGGACACCATAAATGGGCTTCACACATTGTGCCCATGTGGGGATTCGAACCCGGTCTGTTCTTGAACACCGAGCGGGCCGGGGAGAAGACACTTTCCCTTTGTAGTTGAGTCATATGTATATAATTAATGCCGCTCACCTTATGGTGAAACTCTGGAACTACTTAAGGAACCGTTAATATGGTACATATGGTAGAATCTGAATAAGAGTTAACCATGTATTACATCAGACCATTTTCGGACTTCACTTTGCTAAAGTATTTTATAAACCACAATCAATATATATCGTAGTATAAGTATTAAATTATATATAAATAAGAACAGCAAATAATCTCTGTTTATTAAAATAATCACGACACACTTGACACGAATATACATTTATTAAATGGGCACGGCTCCATACAGGTACGCATGGAGCCTATGGTGTTTCACAGTGAGAGAAATTTCCCAGCAAGTGGTGGCTTATCCAAATCAGGTCGTCTCAAAATATATACGAGGAATTACTGCATTCTATTCAAAATCAGGTAAACAAATGGTATTTGTTTGATCACCATGTGTATACATAGACTTTGTCTATGGCGGTTAAAATACACACATGTACACAAATGCGTGCAGGGGACGTTTTGCCAAAAGCATCAACTAGTTCGTTACATCAACAGGCCAAAGATAATGGTGACGATTCACAACATTATCGTACATGTGGTCAATTGTAATTTAGCACAAACAAAACTCACATTTTGTTGCTGTCATGCCTGAATAGCGGCAGACTTGCTCCATTTTTCATCTTATTCAAAAGAAACAAAATATTACTAAATATATTGAATCTGATCATTGATAAAAATCCTCCAAATTGAGACATTTAAGAAAGGAAATGGTATACATCATATTAATTTTTTTATTTTACAAGGGATACGTTAAGTAAATATTCGTTTTATCTGTGTACGTTGCGGGATATGAATACAATGCATTAAATATGTAATCGAAGGAGTTACCCTTCTCTCTAGAATTATTATACAATTCTCTTGTCATAAGATGTCAACGGGAGAACGTTATTACAACACATATAATACCATATAATAAAGTGACAATAACACCAACAACAGATCACTCAATTTCTTGGCACACTGCCCATTTGTCTCAGGTTTGCTTCTTGTGAATATGTTTTGATCGTTAAAGCTTATACCTCTGGTAAATGTCACCTTGTCAGATAAAATGAGGTCAATGTAGGTATACTTTCCTTTGTTTAACCCATGAAAGTTTACTTCTACAAGAACCGTAGCATTACCTGGCCTAGCAAGAAATCTATAAGGGTCCCATAAGTCAAGTTTAAAGGATGTTTTATCATCTGTGGCATTGAGAGAGCCCCGTAACATCCCGTAGTGAAGTTCCAGTGACGACCCTGGTCCCTCCCTAACATCAACGTCACCCAACAGATGCTGCCCGTATTTCCCAACATAACAATCTAGGCATTCTACGTCCGAGTTCGTAACAACAGAATTATTTTGGGTGCTTGGTGGCAACTTGCCCCATGGCGAAGGATACGTGCATGCCGTGGAAGAATTTAGCCAAGGTTGATCACCCATTAAAATATCAGAAACATAGAATGAGATTGTGTTTTGTGCAATGGCCTCATCCGTTGTTTCTGGTCCACTGGCGCTTGAAAAGATTCCAAAGTCCAAGTCAGGGTAGAGTTTAAGGAAGGTAATGTAAGAATTTATGCCTCCCGTGTGCATCATCTGTCTATATCCTGGAAAATAACGTACACAACTGAAATACATGGAACTAGCTATAGGAAAGTTAAAGTCACTTTCGACACATTACTTACATCTTTGTACGTGTTTCTGAGATGGTGCATTGGTAAATGTTTCATTCATAAGAAAACATGCTTAAGTCAAAAAGTACAAAATGTCAAAGAATTAATGAGTTTCGATTACCTCCGAAAACATTAAAATTTTGCAAATTCCGTTGTGGTAAAATATATTTGTAGCAGTCATTGAAACATAGTCGAAACCCTTAACTGAGAAGTTATCTCCACTCAGCCTCCACATGATGTTAAAGTTGGTATAGATATTTAATAATATGTAATGATAGTAATATTATACGGTAACACTTGAAGACATGAAAACATTTGTTTACGTTGTTGAAACAATGGTTTAACACTGAGCAAATGTAACTACAAGAAACTCAGTCAGTCAGTGACTCTCTCAAAATATGTTCGGGCTTAACTCAGTGTTTCGTGTTATGACAAATTAAACATGTTAATGCCCGAAAGGGTGAGTGAGTGAATGAGTATGGTGCTTTTGATCAGTATTCCAGCAATATTACGGGGGACACCAGAAATGGCCTTCACACCCATGGGGGGATTCGAAACCGCGTGTTCTGCGTGACGAGCGAACGCATTAACCACTAGGCTACCCCACCGCCCCTGTACAACAAAACCTATTAGGACATAAAAGACATTCCAGGACGAGTGTTTGTGCTATGAAATAAACAAATAATCAGCAATCACACCGATAAATAATGCTGTGCCTGCAAAATACAGGATCAACCAGGACAACAGGTGTGTCAGTGTGTTTCTACCATGCTAACTTATCCAAAGGGCAATGGTAATAGCAAATTGTCAATTGCTGTTTGGTGGCTTGATTATTGCTGAGTGTACGCCATAATCAATTATATGTGAGACAAATAATCTAGTTTCTGTTTCTTACCCTTATATGCTGATATAAACCACGCATAACCATAGCCATACCGCAATTCCGTCACGGGATACTCCGGCTTTGACACAGACGGATCGGCAGGAATACTCTCGTGAGGTTTAAAGACCTCCGCAAGTGTTTTAGAATTAACCAATGTGACGTTGTCCTCCGTTACGCCTTGCCTCAGAAGAAAGTGCATCCACTTAGCCATGTCCTCCGCTGAACTCGCAATAGCACCCGCAGCCTCTCCTGGGTGTATGCTGGGGAGAACCAGGATCAGTACATAAGAACACATCAAACATCGCAAGACGATAAAGGGAACAATCCCGTTCTTCATATAACATCTTCTTAACCCAACGGTATCTAACGATTACTGTTGCTGATGTTATCAACTACTGAATTACTTGTATCATTGTTCTTTAATCTACTTTCATAATTAATGATATATCTATAATCTTATGTGCCAAATGGTTGCAGTTGTTTCTGATAAAATAGGTTATATATACTCCCCTAAAATAAGAAACGCATCATCAAAAATAGCAATTTCATGTAGCAATGAATTAAAACGTGATTCACTTTGCAAAAGGTTTTGCTCTGTTTATGAGTCCTATGGTGTTTATGTTTTGAAACATCACAACAAAACGCACCATCCGTAAAGTACCCGTATTTAACAGCATGATTTTCAATTTCGGCGTGTAGTGTCACAGAATACACAATTCACATGCAATGCACGTGAAAGTTGGGGATCAGATAGTCTCAATGATAGGTATAAAAGGTTGATCGCTGTCTGTCGATTATTCACTGTATTTGGAATATTTTGGACGAACGCAAAATGCCACGTCTAAGTGAAGCAAACCGTCATATCGCCATTGGTTTGCTTGAAGCTGGCCAGTCTCAACGTGCAGTTGCCCGACGCATGAATGTTCACCAAAGCACAATTTCACGGCTCTGGGACAGATATCGCCGGCAGAATGCGATGCCCCTCGTAGTGGGCGTCCTCGAGCGACTACTGCGGCGCAGGATCGCTACATCCGGGTACATCACCTGCGTCATCGAACAGCTACGGCGCCCAGTACCGCTCGACAAATACCCGGATTGAGGAGGCTTTCTGCACAGACCGTCAGGAACAGGTTGAGAGAGGCTGGTTTACGTGCCAGAAGACCTTATTTTGGCCCTGTGTTTCGACAACAACATCTTCGACATCGAGTTCAATGGTGCACCAACGTTCAGGCCTGGAACCACCCAAATGGGCGTAGAATTTGGTTCAGTGATGAATCACGATTTCTATTGGAACGACGCGATGGAAGAATGCGGGTGTACAGACGTCGACGTGAACGTTTCGCCGACGCTTGCGTTCCCCAGATGGACAGATTCGGCCGGGGCAGTGTTATGATGTGGGGAACGATCACCTGCCGTAGGAGAAGTGATTTGGTGATGATCCAGGGCAACCTGACAGCTCAACGGTACTGTGACGAAATCCTACGCCCACACCTCCTTCCAATCATTGATCGCCAGAGGGAGTTGTTTCAACAGGACAATGCCAGGCCCAACACAGCACGCCAGACTAGAGACTTCCTCCAGAACCACAACATCAATGTGCTCCCCTGGCCCTCAAGATCACCGGACTTAAACCCGATCGAATATCTGTGGGATGCCCTGGACAGACGGGTGCGACGCCGTAGCCCTCAGCCCCAGACACTTCAGCAACTCGCACAGGCACTACAGGCAGAGTGGGTTGCGATTGGGCAACACGAGATTCTGAGACTTATTCGTTCGATGCCGAGGCGATGCCGTGCAGTTCTGGATACCCACGGTGGTCACACGAGGTATTGACTTCAGCGCCACCACACGTCTCCATGTGACACTCAAACTGACTTTCCTCGAGTTGGTGCCAAAGACAGATAAGTCTGCATTCCCAGTGTGCAATTTCGCTAGATTTCATTGACTCATAAAGCCTACAAGATGTTTCAAAATAAACATAAAAATACAGTTGAAATTCCTATATGCGTTTCTTTTTTGGGAGAGTATATTATACACTATTAAAGATGTAATGAACGTTCCCAGAGACTTAAGGTGTTACATTATTGATTGAAAACAACAAATGTAGACACAAAATGAATATCGTACAACTGACATCCATAATAATATCCAGAAATGTTTTGGTCATTTTTTTTCAAATGACAAAAATAAGTGAAAGCGAATAAATCTTACTCATAAATTGATTGATCCGTTAATATGAGCTTGTTCTCTACATTATAGTACGGTTTTGCCATTTCTGTTGCATGTGTCGTTATCGTCCTTCCCAGAACACGCGACTGGTTCATTCCCAGTGGTTTGAAGATCCGTTTCTCCAAAGTAGCTTCATAAGATTCCCCTGACAACACTTCCACAATACGGCCGAGCAGAATGTACCCCCAGTTGTTGTACTCGAACACGTCACGGAACGGTTTGACTTCCGGAAGAAAGCGGAAACGCCTGCATAAAGAACAGCAATATCATCGTAAGTGGATAACGCAGATTCGTTTCAATGTTACGTATACCGTTATAGTGTGCGATTGTGGAGAATAAATGATAGGCAAATGAATACATTTCGCAAAATCATACTGCGTAAAGAAGAACCCAAGGTCTGTTCCAGACGAGTTATCAGTTGGTATTGGTAGGGCAAGACGTGCCATCAGTTTCGAGAGAAACAATATTTGTTTTAACATCCAGGATTGGTTTCCTTGACAAAAGCGATGTATATGTTTTCTATTGTTTGGTTAGCAATGAAATATAAATAATGACGACCGGCATGCAACCTTTGATAGGTTGAGGTGTGAAATGTAATCTGGTCGAGTGTCTTATTGATATCACTCCTTCGACCACAGGTAGGTAACTGGGATATAAAAACAGAAGTGTTCAGAAAACAACTATTGGAGATTTAGAAGTAGGGCATTTGGCTTTTACATTTCTTAATGTTATAACGTGGTGTGCTTAATGTGGAAGGAAACTCACAGAAATCCCACAGGCACAAAAATAGTTCTCCCGAACAAAAAAATAGGGTTTACTTGGCAAAATCAGCTCTCGTGAAGTTCTTGGCAAATCCCGGATATAGGCTGATGACTGCCGGGTGGAGGCCTGTGCGGTGGGACAAAAGATCCCTCAGAGTAGTCTCCCTTGTTCTCTCCTCGTCCACAAAAAATTGTTTATGTAAAACACTGATTTAGTTCCAAGTAGTAAACATGTTCCGGTTCGGAATAAATGCCGTGAAATAGAGAATGGATGACACGAATATAAATTCCGCACATACGGCAAATATTCCATCGAACAGGAACAAATACCGTCAGGCCTCACCTATTCCAGTCATTATTGAATGCAAAATAGACTCGTCCAACTTGTCCGCACATCCGGGATTTTCAAGCCCGAAATACAAATACCGTGAATCATGTTAGATCTAGGTGAAAATCAAATCAACGAACGGCCATTTGCCACACACAGCAAAATCAAGGTGCCATACATAGGCGCCCGGAGGTCTGATGTATTTGATAAGTATGACCTATATATATATAACATATAAGATATGTTATATATATATGTCATACTTATAAATACATCAGAGATCGATCAGACCGATTATGGAGGCAGAGGAAAACACTGCTCTTTGTACTATGTATCGGACGAGATCAAGGATAAGTCTGCTCCATTGAAGCTTGTGATAACTAGTGACCAGAAAATTAGCAACCATCAGAATGTGCCATATTGATCACTGTACGTTTACCAAAACTGTAGATCAAATTAAAATACAACGATATTTGAACAATTCTTCAGTATTGTCCGGATTTCGATCAGGACCCTTATCACCCGACATGTAGATATTATACATACATCCTTGAAATAATAATTTGAAATAGATGCACAGATTTTTAAAGAAAGGTGAACCATATCTAATGGCAGTTTAGGCAATTTAGTGTTATTTTGTATAGCCATAACAAAAGATGAAACCAATTCCCACAAAAAAGACAAATGGTGCCACTGACGACAATACTATATTGAGTCCTTTTATAAGGAACTTTCACACATGATAAATGCTGCTTGATAGCCACAAGATTTGTTCCACATGGAACAAATACCGTAGGATTGAATCCTTTCTTCCTTTCCGCCCCCACCCCCAAACAAAAAAAAAAAACAAAAAAACAAAACAAACAAAAACAACAACAACAAACAAAACCAAAACAAAACAAACAACAACAACAAACAACCAACAACAAACCAACAACAACAAAAAAAACAACCAATTTTTAAGACCACCCCAACAAACAAAACCCTCTTTTAGACACTTTAGGATGTGTGTGAAAGTTCCTATTTACCCGGAATAAATTCTGTTTGTGCGGAACGAAATAATTGTTACTCTAGTGAATTTTCTCTTTTGATAGTTTCCAAATTTTGGAAGCCAGTCGGGCTAGCTATGCCTGAAAGTGACTAGCTCACAACATAATTCACTAGCCCCGAAATTTGAATGTAGAAACTAAGCAAAAGAGGATGACAAAAATAGATGAGAATACAATATTCTCGGCATTGCATTTATTTTTAGGACAAAAATTCTGCAAAAACCTCACAGAGTGGGTATGATGTTTTGATTATGATCAGCGTTTCATTGAGTATGTTATGTTTATTAGTTTTCGAGTTAGATTGCAATTCATCGGTCCGCTTTTGAGCCAAACGGACTGTAGACAGCATGCTCTATTTCAGACATTAGTTCATTTAGATGCCACACTATGGTTAATCACGACAGATGATCCACAATTCCCAACTCACTAACTTCTTAACCTCCTGACAGCTGTACTCATGCCTATGTACAGTACTCATGCCTATATATTCACTGATCCAGGAATATTGTACTATACTGTGAGACTGTCACCTGAGTGAGTGAGTGGTAGAATGTATTATCTGAGTGCATTTATGTTTCTCACATACCTTCCATTACTTTCATCAATCATCATGGCCAGGAGGGTACTCGTGAAAGCCTTCGTCACTGATCCAATTCCAAACAATGTATCCTTGGTGACGTTCGCTCCCTGTTCAATGTCCGCCTGTCCGAACCCCCGTGTCCACGTCTCACTCCCCTTCACAACAGCCAGGGTCAACCCAGGGATATGTCTACACCGCATGACCTCCTCCACAAACATTTCCACCTTACTGGCCTCATCATCGGTGAAAACCCCCGCCGACCCGGCTGAGACAGCGGACATGATCAGCAACGCTTGCATACACCACATTATCTTACTTGACTGCAAGCTGAACCAGACACTATTTCTAGTACTACATGTATAATACGCCCGCCGAGTAAAGAGGAAACCACCTCAACTGAACGGGATATGCGGGGACAAAGGTTCTCCTCGACAAAACTATTTCTCACAGATAGATGCGGTGTGTTGTTCTTCAGACAACAAGTAAATAATACCAGCAGTAATGTGGTGGCGTCTGGAAGCCATGGGATGATAAAGAAGTCAATTGCTGGCACAGACGCGTTATTCTTAATGTTAGATAGGATTGATGACATGTGTTAGCCTGTGGTAATTGTGTTGTAACGAGCATTTCATCTCGTATCGCGTTTAGATTACTTTCGTACACACCGTAGACATGGGATTCTTTGGTAGCTAGCTGTGTCCTCGCGATAGAGATAAAATGCATACTATTCAAACACAAAGTTCGAAGCAATATCTTAATATTACACATGATCATGGATATTACTGGTGATTAAAGTTGGGATCCTACATAACTACAAACTTTTGACTTTCACTCTTACATAAGTGAATAAAATTTGTTCTAATACTTCTCGGTGGCACACTTGATGCGATCATAACAGGTGGAAGAACTGAGTGAAGTTTCCAGTGAGAACATGAATAAGTTGGGGTTAACGCAGCCGTTTTGAACAATTTTATTCGGTATTGGAAACTTGAAATGCCAAATGAAGAGGTCCCTGAGGTTTATCCTTCGATTGAAAGCCAGTAGCATGCGTATGGTGCAACAACAACGCTAGGAAATATATGGCAAATCGGAGATTTGAACCCATCATCATCATCATCATCATCATCATCATCAGAGTATGTCGAAACCAAGGACTAATCAGACATTCGAACCGCACACCGTCGGAAGGGGACTGGTGGCAGAGATGACTGACCTGCCCATGTTTCTCAAACATGTACAGGGAGCATTATTCAGTATATTTGTTCATGCCACGTAAAAAGGGAGCAAGGGCTCTCGCGGCCTCCTTGTACCTCGACAATGCCTTACATGTTCAATCATTCTAGTTATTTGAATAAGTTAATCTTGGTTTAACCCGAAAACAACTGTTCCCGACATATGAGGGGACTCTACGTGTTTGAGAGTGTGAACAACAAACACAAACATAGCTACATAATCGACTAACTAGTCACTTATTGCAAACATCCAGTCTACATTTGACATCCAGTTTGAACTGAAGGCTCAGCCTTCTGACAAATTTTCACATCCATGTAGCTTACAAAAATCTATTCGGGAATGTGAACACGACCCCTCAAGGGTTTCTGGGCAATAGCAGGTGCCTCGCAGAGCATGGAGTGCAGCGAGTACAAATGGTCTTTCGCATAATATTAATCTCTGTTTTTTTTTCTTCATTTACAGTGTTTTGGGTACATATTCACATGGGACAAACCAGTGATTAGTTTTATGAGCAACGCCCATGTACTGAGTTTGTTAGAGCTAAAACCGATGTAGAAACTATGAATGACGATCGCTGTGTACAAGTGCAGAGGTTCCGCTGCTTACATGTGAAGAAATATGTTCGTTCTTCAACACCGAGCGGGTTGGGAGTAGTTACCCTTTGTAGTAGATACATGGGTGTATGATAAATGCTCTTCAGCTAATGCTGAAACTCGGGGACTACCTCAGTCCAACCCCAGAACCGTTAATAGTTTTACATCTGGTAGAAAGACGTAAGTTCGAGTAAGCATCAGACCATTTACGGAGTTCACTTTGTTGAAGTATTTAATATGCCACAACCACTATACTAGTATACCCTGTGTCGAATGATATGTCAGAAAGATCAGCAAGTATCAGTAAAAATAAATCTCTGTTTATTAAAATAATCAAACTGAACATGAATATACATTTATTGAATGGGCACGGCTCCATGCAGCTATGAAGCCCATGGTGTTTACGAGTGAGAGAATACCAAACAATCGGATGCACTTTAAACAGGATTGGAACATGGTATCACTGACATAAATGTTGGCATCTTATCCAAAACACGTCGTAATCAAGATATCGAGGTATCAGGGCATCTTCTTTGTGAATGTGCAGAGAGTTGCATTCCATTCACAATTAGGTTACAAAATGGTATTTGTGTGATCACCATTAATTTTGTATACATGTGCATTGTCATACCAGCAAGGTATTTGTGCACCAAGAATGTTCACGACTTTACGGCGGTCAAAATGCATATATGTATACAAATATGTGCATGGGACGTTTTGCCTCAAGCATTAACTAGTCACAACAAGAAATGACGATTCATGACAGTAAATTCTTTTAAATGTAAACTTTATGTGGTCTTTTGTATTCTTACAGAAATACCCACACATTTTTGTTGATACTGTGCACAATAAACCATTTTCATCTTATACAAAAGAAACAAAATATTACAGTTTATTATTGAATCTGATCATTGATAAAAAGTCTCAATTTAAGAAAGAAAATCATGTACATCATGCCAAATATTCATTTGACAAGAGATATGTTCAGTATATATCGGTTGAATTGTTACTGTGTGGGATATGAATACAATGGATTAACTATTTAATCAAACGTGTTGACCATCTTTCGAGGATACAATCCCCTTGACATAAGGTGTCAAAAGCCGAACTTTTATTATTACAAGGTCTCTACCATATAGAGCACACTGCATAAAGTGACACGAACACCAACAAAAGATTGCTCAACTCCTTGACACTCTTCCCATTTGTTTCAGGTTTGCTTCTTGTGAATATGTTTTCATCGTAAAAGCTTATACCTCTGGTAAATGTCATCTTATGAGGTAAAATGAGATCAATGTAGGTATACTTTCCTGTGTTTAACCCATGGAAGTTTACTTCTACAAGAACCGTTTCATTACCTGGCCTAGCAAGAAATCTGTAAGGGTCCCATAAATCAAGCTTAAAGGTCGTTTTATCATCCGTGGTATTGAGAGAGCCCCGTAACCTCCCGTAGTGTAGTTCCAGTGACGACCCTGGTCCCTCCCTAACATCAACGTCACCAAGCAGATGCTGCCCGTATTTCCCAACATAACAATCTAGGCACTCCACATCGGAGTTCGTGACATCAGAATTATTTTGGGTGCTTGGTGGCATCTTGCCCCATGGCGAAGGGAACGTACATGCCGTGGAAGAATTTAGCCAAGGTTGATCACCCATCAAAATATCAGCAACATAGAATGAGATAACGTTTTGTGCCACGCCCTCATCCGTAGTTCCTAGTCCATTAGCGCTTGAAAATATTCCAAAGTCCAAGTCGGGGAAGAGTTTAAGGAAGGTTATGTAAGAATGTAAGCCTCCAGTGTGCATCATCTGTCTATATCCTGGAAAATAAGGTACACAATTAAATTACATAAAAATACGAAAGTTAAAGTCACTTTCGACACATTACTTACATCTTTGTACATGTTTCTGACATGGTGCATTGGTATATGTTTCATTCTTAAGAGGTATGTTGAAGTAAAAAGTACAAAATGTGAAGCAATAATCAGTCTCGATTACCTACGAAAACATTGGCAAATTCCGTTGTGGTTAAAGTTATATGTATAAATCATTGAAAGATCAATGATGACACCATATGTTTCGCTGAAAGCCTGAGGCATTATCTCCACTCAATGATGTCAAAAGTTAGTAGAGATAATATGTAATGATAGTAATATTTTATGGTATAATTCAACATATTAAGCATTTGTTTACGTTGTTTAAATAAATAAATAATAATGGTTTAAAACTGAACAAAGGTAACTACAAGAAACTATCGTGACAAAAAGACATTCCAGAACGAGTGTTTGTGCTATGAAATAAACAAATAATCAGCAATCATACCGATAAATAATGCTGTGCCTGCAAAATACAGGATCAACCAGGACAACAGGTGTGTCAGTGTCTTTATCGCGAGCTAACGTATCCAAAGAGCAATGGTAATAGCAAAGTACCTGTCAGTTGCTAGTTGATGGCTTGATTATTGTTGAGACACCGTACATCATAATCAGTTATGCGTGAAAGAAATTCTAATTTCTGTTTCTTCCAGTGCAGTTCACTATTTTGAATTATATCCTACGTTCCCGATGTATTTCAGGTGAACAAATGACTAGACTTAGCATATGTTTATGACGGGTGCCACTGGTGGAGCAGGTTACGCTCACCTTTCCGCGAACACCTGGTATCATCACTATTACATAGTGATTCATAAACACATGCTCTGTTATCGTATCGCACGGTGACAATCACTGGACTGTCTGGTTCAGACCCGATTTGCTTAGAAAAACATCATACAGCTGTAATACTGCTGAAACAAATATCTGCTCATGATATAGTCACAATTGTGCAATCGACTCTGCTTTTCGTATAGATTTCTTATGAATGGGGAAAGGGTCTTGTCGCTTCTATTTACCCTTATATGCTGATATAACCCACGCATAACCATAGCCATAGGCAAAGTCCATCACGGGAAACTTCGGCTTTGACACGAACGGATCTGCAGGAATACTCTCGTGAGGTTTGAAGACCTCCGCAAGTGTTTTAGAGTTGACCAGTGTGACGTTGTCCTCCGTCACCCCTTGCCTCAGTAGAAAGTGCATCCATGTAGCCATGTCATCCGCTGAAGACGCAATAGCACCTGCAGCCTCCCCTGGATGTATGCTGTGGAGAAGCAAGATCACAGCATAAGCATACATCATTCATCGCAGGACGATAAAGGGAACAATCCGGTTCTTCATATACCATATCTTCGTGACCCAACGGCATCTAATGAGAACTGTAACTCATGATATCAACCGATGAATTTATTATAGGAATAATTATGGAAGTGGCTTGAAGAATGATGATACATCTACTAGTGGTGGTCTGATTGATTGAAATAATCGAAGATTGGTCGCAGTGACTAAACGGCGAAACAGTCGATCATGTTTTCTCATAACAAACAATGAACACAGACAATTTTTGAACATTTGCTGGCATTAAGAATATTATTCACGAGGCTGGTTTTGTCTGTCACATTTCCTAAGCACTGCAAGGTCGTTCATGATTGACTTTTTATTGTATAAATTGTTTTCGTCACGATATGGCTGAGATATTGCCGATGTGACGTTAAATATTAACTCACTCACTCACTCACTCATGATTGAATTTATCTTAAAGACTCCAGGAAATGTATGTTCCTAACATACTGGTCACCCTTTGAAGATTTGAAATTCGCAATTTATGCATTTTGTGCAATAATTTGAAAAAAAACTCTTTCTTATTCTTTGTGCATTAACAAATATCACCAGGAAAATTTGATAAATGACACTAACCAATTATTTTCGATGATTGATCGGTTGTAATGAACCAATCATCAATTATGAGATTTTAACCAATTCCCAACACTAACATCTACGATAATGTTATGTGCCCAACTGTAGCAGTTGTTTCTGATAAGATAGATTGTACATAATAAACCAGTAGAGAGGTATTGAACGTTACCTAGAAACTGAATGTGTTTTTTTTATTATTCAAACACGTTTTTCATTTGAAAAACGTATCACTGACATCTTTAAAAATCTTCATAAGGTGAATACGAGTGGTATATTATTTCAAATACGACGGTCGGTCAAAAACTATTCGGCCTCACCTAGAAAATGATACAAATGCAGCTGTTTTTATGTTATGTTTTTCTACAAAATATTGGTTGTGTTATGTTCCAGCCTCACGATCCTCATTTTGTTGGGGGACTTTTTATCTTGGTATTGTCCCCAAAAAGCAAAATCTGAAATAAATGCATCACAAACTTCAGGAATCAAAATATGCAAATGCATTTGTGTGATTGGAGCAGGTAGAAGGCAGCAAGAATCAAGCTTAGATATTAAAGTGCGTAAAAAAAGTCATTTGAAACTACAATCGCTTGTTAAAGTGACTCCCCCATCATGTTTACTGAAAGAGCTTGTTTAAGAGACACAACCCATCCCCATTCCGAAGACGTAATCATACGGACATAACTTATTCGGATGTTTTCACTTATACATAATGACAAGGGTTCAAACTAAATACTGAATGGTCACACAAATGTCAGCTCTCAATATATTGTAAACAGGGCTACCTTGAATATCTGACTACAATGGTTCTGAAAGACTGAAATGGGTGTGTCCTTAAAACAGCCCACGTTTAAATTATATAAATCAAGCAATCCAAATCTGTGACTGTTGATTATGGCGGGAAGTCATCCAATACATCATCCAATAATGTACACATTTTATATGATATTAGTGATATTTTTACCATTATCCAAGAGGTACCAAATGCCAAATCGTTTTTCATTTTCTGCAATTTCTTTTAGAAACACATCATACCCCAATGTGTTGTGATGACTAATATCTCGTTAACCACATTACCCATATATGTGAAATATTGAATATGGCTTTGCTAATGATTCCTTCAAAATGAAATGGAAACTTTTCAAACATTGAACATTGATAATATACTTAGGCCGACTACTTTTTGACCAACCCTCGTACAGAACAAATTATCTTAAGCAAAAGCGTTTCATCTTACTCGTAAATTGAGGGATCCGTTAATACGAGCTTGTTCTCCACATTACAGTACGGTTTTGCCATTCCTGTTGCATTTGTTGTAATTGTCTTTCCCAGAACACGTGACCGGTTCATTCCCAGTGATTTGAAGATCCGTTTCTCCAGGGTTGCTTCGAAGGATTCCCCTGACAACACTTCCACAATATGGCCGAGCAGAGCGTAGCCCCAGTTGTTGTACTCGTATACGTCACGGAACGGTTTAACTTCAGGAAGAAATCGGAAACGCCTGTATAAAGAACAACAATAACATCATAAGTGGCTCAAACAGATTCGTTTCAATGTTATAGTGTGCGATTATAGAGGGTAAATAACATGCAAATGAATATATTCAGCGAAGTCAAAGACTCCATGGCCTGCTGCCTTAGCCTGTCACAGAACACAACTTGTCGGTACAATGATCATGACGTCCCAAAGAGCAACCAATAGTTACCGATAGGGCAGGACACCAGTGCTTGTGTTCGCATTCCAGATCGGTTTCAGTGAAATGACAGGACGAAAGCTTTTAGATCCGTTTTCTATTGTGTGGTTAGCATTGAAATATGTATAAATATTGACGGCCGGCATGCAACCTTTAATAATCTGGTAGAATGTCTTTTCGATATGACTTCTTCGCTTTGAAGTAACTTTAGAATTCTGGTTACTGGGAATAAAAAAATAGTGTACAGAAAGCTTATATTTCTAGAGGTTAAATTAGGGATATTTGGTTTAACATGGCTTTCAATGGTATTGCTGGTATGTTGTTGCATGTTTTAAGTTAACGTGGGAGAAAAGGTCCAAGGAATTCCTCGTGCATGTGATTAGTACTGATAAATCTTTCATCATGATCAGGACTTTTATTGGTTCGAAACAATGTTCAGTGGAAACTGGCGAAGGCAAGGCAGAGAACTCCGCCAGCGATCAATCAATCAATGAATCTTTATTTCGTACTGAAGAGGCCACTGGCCTATAGTACATATCCATATATGATGGAGAATTATATAAATGAATGTGTACTAGCTACACAAAGAAACTGTGCACACAGAAAATTCCTTCAGAATTAGAATACAACACAGAAAAGACGAAATGATAGAGACACTTTATAAGCTGAAGTATCGTTCCACAATAAAATGTCAAAAGAACATGAACAAAATCCGTAACGATGACGTCAGAAGTTCAAAATCGAGTAGGTGGTCACATGACGAAGTCACAAAGTCAATAACAGGTATGACCACCATGTGCATGAAGCACAGCAGTGCATCGACGACGCATAGGGGCTACCAAATGAGCATTGAAGGCCAGGGGAATGGTTTGGGACGTGGTCACTGCCGTCTGGAACCTGTGTCTGAGATGAGTCACCCGAATCCATCTGTCCTGTCTTGGCGTCGTTACGTCGGGGACGCCCAGAACGTGGATGGTCGGTGACGTCATTACTGTTTCGATAACGCCTGATCAATGCAGATATCGTGTTACGATGGCATTGGAAATGTGCTGCCACCTGTTGTTGGCTCATTCTTGCTCGAACCATTCCAAAAGCTTCTTGACGTTGAGCAGATGTTAATCTTGGCATGATGTGCATGTGACTTCTCATGTGAATTTGTGAACGTTTGAATGACCAAAGATCAAGCTTTCGACAGTGACTGCAATTTCTGAGTTTCACATGTTGTGTGCGGCTGCACGGGCTGCACGTGCAGTAACACATTGCAAGTCCATAGGCCACCATCAATGACGTCACGTCGCCTGGCACGTTCATGAGCGTTTGATTATCTCCAACACTTGCTATGTTCACACTTGTATTTATGTATAAAGACGCTGTGTGCCTATGTTTATATTTTCTGTGTGCACAGTTTCTTTATGTGGCCAGTATATTTACATTACAGCGATAAAACATTTGTTCTATACATCAATGAACATGGCAAGATTCTGTAATATATTTCTATTTTTAAGAGTAGAGAATTTTATAATACTTGGATGGACAGAGAAATACCTTTTAATATATTTGAAACGTATTGATTTATACGATGGGCAGATGACAAGTAAGTGATATTCGTCTTAAACTTCATTTGAATCTAAAATTTTACATCTACCACTTTCAATCAACAAATAGTGTGATGAATATTGGAATCTTGCTAGTGATCGCGTAAATGTCTTTATATTAACACATGATACGTATACTTCATTGAATAGATCATTTTTAAATTTTGAATAATACAATCATTTATTTGACAAAGATACATGTCTTTACGTTTTACGGTTAACGATTGAATGAATGATAGATGATATTCTACATATTGTGCATTCCAAACGTTTCCGAAGCCAATAGAGAATAAGAAGTTCTTAACATGAGATGTCCAATTTCTTTGTCCATTTTCATCATACAAATATACACCATATTACTACTTTAGGTAATCGATATGGAGGCATATTTAAGAGTTTTAACTAGTATTTGACAACTTTTATGCTTGTAAACAAGTGCATTGGATATCTGCAACATTCACCGTAAACCGTTGCGTTAAATGTATTCAATTTAACACCAAGATATTTCTTGCATGCATACAAATGTATTCTTTCTATTTGATGATAATCTACCAATGCCCAGATCTGTGCTCCATTAGTCAAAATTGGGTTTATTTTTGCATAAAAAATCTTTAAAAAGGTTTTTATAATTAAAATCTCAAAGTGTACTTGTTGTCTTCATAATACCGATAAGTGCTTTTTGCACTTAGAGCGATGCATATTTGACATGCATGGTCCAAGACTAACCACTGGTATAATACAATCCCAAATATTTATAATAGCTAACACAGCCTATATGTATACCCTTAGATAAACATTTGTTTGGAGGCCACTAACGGTGCTTGAAAACAATACAACGTCGTCTGCGAGCAACAGAAGGAAAATTTAGACTATTTCTGGATGAAGTTGTACACCACTTGAACAAGTAGTTTCTGTTTGAACAGCAAGCTCATTGATGAAGAATGAAAACAGGAATGAACTAAGTATACATCCTTGTCTTCCACCGAGTTGTAATTCGAACGTTTCCGAAAAAAATTGATTATTTTGAACACATGCCTCCACGTCCACATGCATATTAGATACCAGTTTACTCATTGTGTTACTAAAACCATGGTCCTCCTGAAAGGGTACGTAAGTCCCAGAACTTTCAAAGTCAATTTAAACCAACTACCATTTTAATCGTAGAATATATGTTCGTTTAATTTGTGGCTAGATTATCTAAGATTGCTAATAGCTGAAGGGATGGTGTAAATCCAGCTAGGGTCCATGCAGGTAGCAAATGTACTGTAAGTCCCCATGGTCCCTAGTGTGGCGATCTATCTTCAGTTGCTGGCAATATATAGCCTGTTTTTACCTTGTATTGTCATCTATAGTTTAACTGTTTTAGATTTAATTACTAGTTTTAAATTCGAATCTGTGATAATCTAGTTATTTTACTGTCCTTCATTGACAGGTTTTACAATTTACCATTGTGTATGAAATCAATTGTTCTCGTCACGATATGGCTGAAATATTGCCGATGTGACGATAAATTTTAACTCACTCACTCACTCACTACTAAGACCATGGCATTGAAACAAAGACCAAAGTTTGTTTCGTTGAACAGAATCAAAGGTTTTTCTCAAAATCCACAAATAGGGCATGGAGCTTTCCTCCTTTTGAATTCGAATATCTTTGTGTTATACTTTGTAATATAAACATGTTGTCAACAGTGGTATATCCATGTCTTAATTCAGCTTTGTAATTCATTTATCTTATCCATTGTATCTCCCCAGCTTACAAGTCTCTTATTAACTATAAAAGTGAACATTTTACTAAATATACTAAGTATTGCGAATTGCGGTGACTTAGATGATTGCACAACGGGTACCCTCTGTACAAAATGAGCACACAAGTGTGTGACTATTTTCCTCATACAAATTAATATATAAAGCTTACTTGGCAAAATCAGCTCTCGTGAAGTTCTTGGCAAATCCAGCAAATAGGGTTAAGACTGCAGGCTGGAGCCCTGTGCGGTGGGACAAAAGATCCCTCAGAGTACCCTCCCTTGTTCTCTGCTCGTCGACAAATTCAAAGTCTGAACCCAACACATCCTTCACCTTTGACGTCCATGTTAAACTGTAACACGAACAGACTCAATCATTTACAAGGGTAAATAAGTTATCCTTTTCATAATTGTTTTTACACAATAAGGTTTGTTCAAAATAGGAATGTAATAAGCATGAAAATGTGTCTATACAGATAAAAGAATACAGTCTTCTGAATTACAACTTCAAACACATTTTTTCACCTATATTTCAGTAAATTCATTGTTAGGTTTGTTTGTTTGATTACATTAAATTATACATTGTACACTTAAATATTACACGTCATTACATGGTTCTCTATCACCTAATGATTGTCACACATACCAGTAAACAGTATTAATATCCCAGAGGTGACTATGAAGTTGTTTTTTTGTTTGTTTTTGTTTGTTTGTTTTTCACTTTTTTTGTCGTACAGCAAATCATACATGTCATACATAATATGTCATTTAGCATATGCTTCATTGAAAACAGACTGTTTATCGCAACACGAGCAATGTCATCTATCGAGAAGCAGTTTCATCAAAAGAGTAACTGGATAAAATGGTTCAAACAACCTGCTTATGGCAACTGGACCAATGCTATACATCGAGAAACAAAGTTTCAGCAAAAAGAGTAATTAAATAGAGTGGTTCAAACATACCACTTATGGCAGCTGGACCAATGTCATACATCGATAGACAAAGTTTCATTGAAAAGGGTAATTGAATAGAGTGGTATAACCAATGTAATACATCGATACATAAAGATTCATTGAAAAGGGTAATAAATAGAGTGGTTAAGAAACATACTGCGTATGGCAACTGGACCATACATCGAGACACAAGGTTTCATCGAAAAAGGTAATTGAATAGAGTGGTTTAGAGACAAACTGCTTTATGGCAACTGGACCATACATCAATAAACAAAGTTTCATTGATAATAGTAATTGAATAAAGTTGTTCAAAACATACCACTTATAGCAGATGGACTAATGTCATACAACGATAAACAAAGTTTCATCGAAAAGGGTAATTGAATAGAGTGGTTCAAACAACCAAGTTATGGCAACTTGATCAATGTTGTGCATCGATAGAACGAAGTTTCATCGAAAAGAGTAGTTGAATATATTTGTCCAACAAACAACTTATGGCAGCTGACCAAAATTTAACAAATTTGTTGTAATCACAGTTAGAGTAAGCTATGGCTTTTGTTATGTTATAGTAATTTGTTAACTCCCTCTGGATCGAAGCAAAGGAAAGTTTTCCTCGTTTAACATAAACTTTGAAAATTGTGTTTTTTATTACGAGACAGATTACGTTTAAAGGGTCATTTCTTTTAGAAGGAAAGCCCAACAAAATTGTTTCTTTAGTAAACTGTATATTGATTTCCGCCTTGCTGTTTACCCAGTTTTGGACTTCAATCCAGATTGAGTTCACAATTTCACAATTCCATAAAACATGACTAATATCTGCTATGAAATTATGACAAGTTGTACAGATAGGAGAGTTTTGGTATCCAATCTTAAACAAATATTTTCCAACTGGAAGGATTCGGTTAATAATTTTATATTGAAACCACCGTAATTGAACACTATCAGTTGATCGAAACGGAATTTCATTAATATTCCTCCATTCCATATCTGTATATTGTTTTACTATTTCTTTCTCCCATTGTTGATTGGCTGAAGTCTTCTGGAACTTGGATCCTAATAACACATTATAGTAATATTTTGAGCCCTTTTTGGTATTCAGGAGCAAACGAATGTTAAATGGTAATAATGGTGCTGTTAATGGTGTATTATCGTCATAATCAAGCTCGTTTAAATATTTATTCAAAGCCTTTTTTTACCCCGTGAAATGTTAAATAATTGGAGGAAATATTGTACGTAGTTTTGAAATCTAGGAATGAAAGAGTTTGACCATCCTGATCTATCAAATCATTGATGTATTTTACTCCGGCTTCCTCCCATTGTTTAATAAATATGCATTTTTTATCAATCTTAACATTATCATTATACTATATATACTGTGAGTACGCATCCTTTCGTGTTTTCTTATGCTTATTCAGGAATAGAGCCCAGGATGATAAAACATCTCGCCAGAAGGGGTTTCTTATGTTGTTAATGATATTATCTCTTATATAGATTGCATCCATTTCTAGAATATTACTTGGAATAGTATTTGATTCGTAAAGAAATAATTGATGTATTGTGTTCGAGAAGGTAAATCGTCTAAGACATGAAATCTTTTGAGAAGCAATTACATCTCTTACAAATGGAGTATTGAACCCCCCGTCCGGAATATTGCATATTACCCTGTTCCTTTTAATCTTATCGGGTTTTTCGTTCCAAATAAATCGAAAGCAATTTGCTTGGAAATTTTGTTTTACAGTTTCCGGTGGTGTAGGAACGGTAGAAAATAAGAGATTAAGTTTTGGTAACAATAAGGATTTTAGCACTGTGTTACGTCCAAACGGCGTTAACGTTCTACATTTTAGAACTATGAAGTTGACAGCTTCTGGTCGTACAGTAGTCATTCTTGAACATACAGCACCAAATACATCAATGGTTACCAAAACTATAAATGTGTGATAGGATTTTATATGGCTTGGGTCGTTTCCTGCTATTTATGTCCTTATAACTTTACCAACTAACTAACTCACTCACTCACTCACTCTGTCCTGTTTCCGGAGACATTTATGTGTCCTGTTTCCGGAGACATTATGACCGCCTCTGAATATACCAATATTCTTTAGTATCCTTAAATATCATTACGTGATGTAGAGGAAACAAACACCCCTCATGTATGAGCCCGTGACTTCATACTTTGCTTGAGACTGCGGCCTGGTTTCAAAACCAGTATCAATTCAGTCGAGTTGAGGCGAGCCTAAAGCTACCACCGTCGTGTTTTTTAAAACTAAGCATAGAACTAAAACATGAACTGTCATGCATTATGAAACAGGTGATTCTTGTTTTAAAGGCAGTCAAGGGAGGAGCCCGTCTGAGCTATGTGGGAAGAGAGTTCCATAGTACAGCAGCAGAGTGTTTGAGGGATCTGGCACCAAATGTCTTAAACTTGTAGACATGTGCAGAAAGCAGGAATTTATCAGCTGGATGAGGACGCATACTCAGATACAGATCTTGAATGTCTGGCGTGGTTTCAACACGCGAGCGCAGGTTTCTGTTATCGTGTGCTTATATACCTGTTAGACAACATACTCTACTCCAGACATTACTTTAGATAACAACCTATGGACTACAATGATTTTCACAATGGACAGACAACAATTCCGTAATTACTAACTTCTTTACCTCAAGACAGTTGTTTTCAGTACTGCCTATGTTTTCACTGATTTAGGAATGTTGTTAAGTACTGTTAGTCAGTCACCGGTTGAGAAATAAGTAGTACTTTCTTGTCCCTCTTGATCGAGAAGAATTGTGAGAAAATTATAACGTCTGTTGAGAAAATGGTAGAATGTATAATTTGTTTGTATCAATATCTCTCACATACCTTCCATTACTTTCATCAATCATCATGGCCAGGAGGGTACTAGTGAAAGCCTTGGTCACTGAACCAATTCCAAACAAAGTGTCCTTGGTGACGTTCACTCCCTGTTTAATGTCCGCCTGTCCGAACCCCCGTGTCCACGTCTCACCCCCTTCACAACAGCCAGGGTCAGCCCGGGGATATGTCTACACCGCATGACCTCCTCCACAAACATTTCCACCTTACTGGCCTGGTCATCGGTGAAAACTCCCGCCGACACCATAGAGACAGCGGACATGATCAGCAACGCTTGTATACACCACATCATCTTGCTCGAAGTCATCGACGCACTGCAAGCTGAACCACACACTATATCTCGTCCTACATGTGAAACACACGCGCTGAGTAAATATATAATCCTGTAAAGAGGCGATATAGTGTTAGATTTCTGATAAACTTAGTCACTTCTTTACGTCAAAGCACTCATATCTGAAAGAAACCACCTGGACTGAACGGTAGATGCGGTGACATAGGTTCTCCTCGGCATATCTATCCCCCACGGGCAGACACGGTGTGTTGTTCTTCAGATATCAAGTACATACATACCAGCAGTACTGTGGTGGCGTCTGGAAGCCATGGGATGATAAAGTAGTAAATTGCTCGCGTAGACGCGTTAATCTTAATGTTAGATAGGATTGTTGACATGTCTCAGATCACGGTAATTGTGTTGTTACGAACATAAGTCATCTTGTATCTTGATCGGATTTCTTTCGTAGCCGCCACAGACAAGTGATTCTTAGGTAGCGAGGAGTGTCTGATAAGTAAAAGAGATAAACTGTCAATTGCCCTGAATGACATTTGTCGAAATGTTCATCATGCACGACTGGGATTTAATGTATGTTATTCATAGACAAAGTTCAAGGTAATATCTGAATGTTTACATATGGTGATACAGATTACTGCAGATTTAGGTTTTGATTCTACATTTCTACGAACTAGTAATTTTCGTATAAACATTAACCTTTCTCTATCACATCTCGGTGGCACACTGCGATCATCATAGGTGGAAGAACTGAGTGAAGTTTCCAGTGAGAACATGAATGAGTTGTGGTTATCGCAACCGCTTTGAACAGTTTAATTTGGGAGTGTAAACTTGAAATGCTAAAATGAATGAAAGCCAGCAGCATGTGTATGGTGCAATAGCAGCGCTCGCACGTGTATAGCAAATCGGAGATTCGAGCCCATCATCATCATCGGATTATGCCGTAAGTAGGGGAGGGAACTGGTGCCGGAGATGACTGAACTGCTTATGTTTCTCAAACATGAAACTAGATTCATCATGTTTCTTCATGTTTCATGGGAAAATGAACAACACATGTCATCAGTTCCCAATTGCGTAGATCGATGCTCATGCTGTTGATCACTGGATTGTCTGGTCCAGACTCGATTATTTACAGACTGCCGCCATATAGCTGGAATATTGCTGAGTGCGGCGTAAACCTTAACTCACTCACTCATTCAATAATATATTCGGTAATGTGGACATGACTCCTGCTAGTGTTTTGGGGCAAGGAAGAGAGTTGACCAAGGGAATCTAGTGATGTTCTACTAGATGTATCAGATCATACCTGATAGCTGTGATCGTTGTGACATGTTCAGTCTTTGGTTTGTCGTCTTTACACTACCGAACTACCAACTGACATTACCAACCTGTCGATTAACCTATGCTTGTCGTACAGGAGACGGAAAGGATAATGCTGTCAGGCCTTGTTAATTGCGTGTATCGAGCGAAAATCGCCATCCTCAATATAATAATCCATGTTGTTATTTTCATTTTATATGTTTGGGATTTACATATTAAAATTTACAAAGTGAGTAAGGCAAGGCAAATGAATATTTACAAAACCACATGCAAATGCACATCTACAGATTGGTTGGAATACAATTCAAATATTGTAATTGGTTATTTGAACAGTAAATGAGATGAAGACCAAAATGTCATGAAGCATGTGTTTTGCAATTTATTGTGGAACTGCATCCATCCAAAATGTATATGGCGGCGGTCTGTAAATAATCCAATCCGGACCAGACACTTCAGTGATCAAAAGCATGAGCATCGATGAATTGGGAACCGATGACATGTGTCAACCAAGTCAGCGAGCCTGACCACCGATCCCGTTAGTCGCCTCTCGACAAGCATGGGTTGCTGTTGACCAATTCTAACCCGGTTCTTCACGGATCCAAATTGTATGGAGTTTAAATATTATTATGGATGTGTTTAATATGAGATCGCCCGTTTTCTAGTCGTGCTTTGTAAATGTTATACTTTGTGATTATTACGCTAGGTTGAGTAAAGGACAACCTATTTCGTTGTATGTATGTGTGTATGTATGTATGTATGTATGTATGTATGTATGTATGTATGTATGTATGTATGTATGTATGTATGTATGTATGTATGTATGTATGTGTGTGTGTGTGTGTGTGTGTGTGTGTACGTGTGTGTGTGTGTGTGTGTGTGTACGTGTGTGTGTGTGTGTGTGTGTGAACTGCTGAATCGTTATCTAGGCTCCTTATTTCCTTCTTCTCAACAAGGATCCATGCAGGTAGCCAAAGTACTGTAAGTCCCCATGGTCCCTAGAGTGGTGGTCTACCTTCAGTTGTTGCCGATCCTCCAGCCACGCCGACAACAACTACAGGACCAACCTCTTTATTGTGAGAAGGCAAATTGTGGCTGTAAAAAGGGGTTGAAATATTGTAAAATTATTGTCCTCCCTGAGAAGGTACGTATTTTATTCCTATCACGTTATAACTCGTAGAGTATGTGTTCATTTAATTCATGTCTAAATTTGTCACTAACATCTGAAGGGTTGGTGTAAATCCAGCGTGAGTCCATGCAGGTAGCAAATGTAAGTCCCCATGGTCCCTAGTGTGGTGATCTACCTTAGTTGTTGGCGCACTACAGCCTATATTTATATTGTATTGATGCGTGTATAATTATTGCTTTATGTTAACATGTTAGTTTTACGTCTTAACCGACTTATTTTATTGTCCTTTGTCGACAAATATTTAAATTGTCTACGTTTTTTTATATTCTCATAGAAACGAATAAGGGAACACATGAAAGTACAAGTGTTTCTTTATTCTTTTCCAGGTTTCTTCACAAGGTATGTATTGCACTGTGAGTGAAATTATGGAAATAAATAAAGGAAAATTTGTACTTTCATGTGTTCCCTTATTCGTTTCTATGAGTATATGTACAACTCTCAGTCACGATATGGCTGAAATGATGCCGATGTGACTTGTGAAATGTTAACTCCCCACTCACTCACTCCATAACCCCTAGTCGTTTTGAAGCATACCCTTTTTTGAGTGTTACATATATAACTAGTTTAGAGAAAGCGTGAAGCTCCTTTGCGTGTGTGGCTACGTGTCGTAATACAATCAATTAAAGCTCTTTTCTCTCGTAGTGTGAAGTTACAGTTGCAAATATTTATGTTAGGCATTCGCCGTGTTGAATCTCCTCTGATGATGATTAGGAACAGACTTAGTGAACAATGACATGGCGGTTTTGATCACTGCTTTCCTCTGTCCTGTCTGAATCAATATCTACGTATTGTCAGAACCAATGTCTATGTCCAGTGAGAATTGATGATGCTTGTTGGATAACACCGATGACTACAGGTGTGCTTTTCACCGCCTTCTTTCATTCACTCGTGTCTACTTCTGTTCCTGCTGCCCAATCCAAACGCTTCAAACGCTTCAAACTGATTCATGCCAGTGTCTTATCGGCTCCTGAACCAATATCTGTGCTCCACAAACACGGTAATACTATCTGACTAATCTGTGATAATCCATGATATGTATAGGTCATCGGATATCAACAAGACCAATGTAATTAAGGGAACCATTAAATGATCACATACCGTTATGATAGCTTGATTCATACAGGTAAGTGAACCGAGAGTGGGCGAATCGTCGTCGCAGGGAGAAAGGTACAGGTAAGAATGCTTCTGATGAAACTATTGGTAATTTGTCGTTTTAGGTACTAAAAAGTGTAACGAAACGTTGTGTTCCTTGTCATAAAGAAATTGGGGTCCGAAAATTTTCTGTTTCATGTGTATAACTTCTAAATGGGATTCTATGACGTATGTTTGCCCAGATTGCTTTTGGTTGGCTAGCACATGATGTTGGTAATATTGATAATTTTAATATTGTATTTAAGCAGCGATTGAAAGATGTATGTATGCAGGATTGGAGTGCACGTCTACATGAATCCTCATTGTTATCTTCTTATTGTATTCAAAACCATCCTTCAGCCAGAGCCTTATTTACATCTCGTTAAATCTGCTAAATTGCGCCGTGCTTTAACTATATTTCGCCGCGCATCAACCGATTTTAATATCCAACCGTATAGACGCGGTGTTTCTGCTGGTTCCGCAATTCCGTTAACGGATGCAATCTGTCCCTTCTGTAATGATGGTTTTGAAGACGAATATCATATCCTATTAGTTTGTCCTCTGTACCAAAACATTAGAGAGAAGTATATACCACCTTTTTATTTTACATACCACACTAAACTTAAATTTACACAATTGATGTCCAGCCAAGATAAATCTGTATTGTTTAATACTGCTATCTATTTGACCAAAATGTTTACACTGCGAAACTATGAACGGGCGCTCATGTCCTGGCATGTACTACAGGCCTCAACGGCCATCATCTACGAAAATAAAGAGTCTGAGTCAAAGACGTACACTGTGTCATGGTTAATAATGTAAATGCTGTAGTTATTTTGTTGATTTGATTGATCTAAATTTCAAATTTTCAAATGATCTCTCCCTTTCCGCCATCCTTGGTTTGTCAAATAGATTATGAACAAAATGCATCCAGGAAGACGTTAAATCAGAAACGAGTTTATTTTCACAAGTTGGTTTGTTTGTTGTTTAACATTGCACTCAGCAATATTCCAGCTATATGGCGGCAGTCGGTGAATAATCAAGTCTGGACAAGACAATCTAGTGATCAACATCATGAGCATCGACCTATGCAGTTGGGATACGATGACATATGTTAACGTAGTCCCGTTAGTCCTTTTTACATGCATGTAATCTAACCCAGATGTTTTCCCAAGTGGTCTATTGTACCCATTTGGAAACCTAATACTGGCCATAATCTAAGTTCAACATATGTTCGTGGTAACAGTTACATTTAGTAAATCATATATCGCCAGTTAATTCTGTAGCAGAGGGATTGTCTACTGCTGACATAAATACATTTTGTTCCATTATGGCATTGTCATAGTAACCGAGTGCTCTGACAAACTAAAGCATACTCACTCTGTTGTCTTTTCAGATAGTAAATGCGAACATTGTAAATGAAGAGACTCTTGTGATGTTAATGTGTTTAAACAGGAGATTAAAGTAAACCATTTGTTCAGTCAGAAGTGCGGTTTTGCAGCTCCATTGTATTTGTTAACCACCTACGTCATGTTAATAAGAGGTTGTTTTGGACTCTCTGAAATGCTATTAGCGTCTCTGGATCTATTAATCTGGATGTTGTGACTGAGTGTATGTACACTTACATGCGTGTCGAGGACTTAACAGGGCACGGCAGAGGTAGAAGCATACATCAGTGTCAGATGATAAGTTGTCTTTTCAAAGAGTAGCCATGCGCATGGCAGTATTGTGAATGTTCCAAGCTATGAAGCACGTCCTCATCAGTGCATGATGTAACTTTTGTTGTTTGCTTTTAATTCTTATTTCGGTTTCGCTTTAAGGAACAGCTAAGAGGAACACTCGAAAAGTCATCATGACAACCTCTCAAATCTTTTTCAAACCGGATGATCTAAACCTATCGACATCAACTGAAGCTACCGTGGATGAAGATGACGGATGGTACATTCCTCCCTGGGTTCCTGGAATAGCAGGGGTTGGAATGAGTGTTCTGATACTGCTTGCTGTGGTCGGCAACCTCCTTGTCATCATCTCCTACTTCAGAGACAAACAACTACAGACTGTCCACAACCTCTACATACTCAATCTGGCTATAGCAGATCTCTTCCTTGGAGCCATCAGCATGATCTTCTATGCGGATTTTACACTCAAATCCTGGAATTGGGCGTTTGGTCGAGTGTTCTGCAAGATATGGTGCGTTAACGATTATACAATGTGCTTGATGTCTGTGCTGCTAATTCTCCTTCTGAGTCTTGACAGAGTCATCCTTCTTAGAAATGGAGCAGAGTATATTGCCAAAGAAACCAAGAAGGTGGCAATGGTGAAGATAAGCATTGCCTGGGTCATAGCGTTTGGGATATATGGACCTTGCGTGATCTTCTGGGACATCGTGACAGGATATAGTGTCATTGAAAAAGAAAATTGTGATGCTGAATTTATCAGAGATCTACACTTTACCCTTATCACGGCAGTATTCGAACTGACTCTTCCTTTCATTGCTCTATTCTGCCTCAATCTTGTGGTTTTCATCGCTATTAGGAATAGGTTGAGGATCTTCCCCAAAGCAAATGATCCAGCGGGTGTACATTGTGATCGTTCGCAATATATGGTTGATGAAAGGGTAAGAAAGCCTGATGGCGAAACACACGAAGGAGAATCATCAACTGAACACACAAATATCAGATCTATTGATAATCCCTTGCAAAAAGAAACACAGACGGGTAAATCTCAGCACTCCGGATGCAACGATTGTTCCAGGTTTCCGAGTTGCTCTACGAATCCAATCACATCGAAACAAACGAAAGCCAGAAAGGATCTGAAGGCAGCGAAGTCTTTGGCTGTGCTTGTAATAACCTTCTTCATCTGTTGGGCACCATATACCATCGCCACTGTCGTACTCGCACAATGTGACGACTGTCTCAACAGGCATGTGTATGAGTTCTTTACTTGGCTCCTGTGGGCTAAATCGTCCATCAATCCATTTCTGTATGCATCTCAGAGTAAACGATTCAAAGAAAACTTCTTCAAACTTCTCCCCTTTCTGAAATTCTGCAAGAAATATCGCGAGTGAAATGGTTATGTTCAAGCTGGGTATGTGTCCACAACCAAAAGGAAAAAAATAGCTATACTACGAAATCGAGAGTGCGGATAATGCCATTTCGATCAATGTTCAATCCGTATTAACGTGGATGACAACTATACCCATTTGGAAATCGAACCCCAGAATTCTACACGCTCAAAAACGAATTCAACGAGAGACACATACGTTCCATTTCAGGGATTGTCCTGACTTCTGCAATCAGTGTCTTAAAATATAGATACAACCCTTTCACGATGGCCGTAATATTTCTTTAACTTAATGTACAACGTTTAATGTTTTTGGAGAGAGCAGATATCGAACATGAGGTGGAACAAGAAGTATCATGATATTACCCGTGACCGTGACATCAAACACAGTGCTGATGCCAGAAACAAAGAAAGCAAGTTGTCTGTTTGTTGGACAGAATATTACTGTGCTGAACTGGACTAACGTGACATTTATTTTTGAGTGAGTGAGTCAGTTTAGTTCTACGTCGCACTCAGCAATATTCCAGCTATATGGCGGCGGTCTGTAAATAATCGAGTCTGGACCAGACAATCCAGCGATCAACAGCATGAGCATCGATCTACGCAATTGGGAACCGATGACATGTGTCAACCATGTCAGCGAGCCTGACCACCCGATCCGTTAGTCGCCTCTAGCATGGGTAACTGAAGGCCAATATTCTAACCCGGACCTTCACGGGTAGACATTTATTATTGAAAGACTGGATGTTTTAATCAAAGATTGCCTACTTGGTTACATTCTACGTTTAGATAAGGTGTTTCTGGGCAAGTTTGCCACGTGGAGCATGGTGGCTTGATATGTGCTATTTTCTTGGCAGGTCTGATTTTTTTAGAATCACTATTTCCAACAAATTATGATTGTTTCGAAATTTGTTAAACATTGAACATCAGTGCAAAAGAATAACCAGTCTTAACTATCCTCTGAAACAAATTCCGTGAAAATGATATTAATGGATCACTGAAAATAAGTGATGACACCAGGTGTTCGCGATAAGGTAAGCATGTACATGTCAAGGATATATTTGAATTTGCCATTTCGGTACCTTCATCCTCACAACGTTATGCGAACACTCTTAACTATACAGGTGAACACTGTCAAAATCTGAACTTGAATTATCATTGTCTCCAGCATCAAACGAGTCTATCTTCAATATTAGGGTTTCTTTCTAACTAGTACATCAACCTTTTGGGGTTTGCTGTGTCATAGGTTTAACCCAGGAAAACTTGTTCAGGTAAATGATAAACATCATTTACAATGTATTGTATTTGCGACAAACGTTTGGTGATATCAGGGGTATCTAAACAGTGACACACTTTGAAAACTTGCATTCTAAACCAGAAGCCAGTGTTGTTGTTTTGTCATCTCAAGTCCATGTCTAAATACATAAACTGAAACTCGAACCCTTACATCAACATCGTATTTTGGATTATGTCGTGCAGAAATACCAAGAACAACGGAATTTGATTTTTGTAGCCATTTTGACAAATAATACAAATATGTATATATACGTTTCCAAAGTGTTTTAGATTACAGCTAAACATCATTAACCTGTGTAAAAAGTAGAACCATGATTCTAAGTTGATGGGTAATTTCATGTTACAAAGGAGAGTTAGTCTTGTTGGAGCGTGTAGAGGTCGCTAATATAAATGCTCATTCTGTCAATCACTGGTTTCTCTAATCCAGACTCGATATCTGAGGAACAACAGTCGACAAACAAAAACATAAAACTAATTCTCTTATCCCCCAGCAGGGGAGCTCTGATTCAAGTAGATATTCGGTACCTTATTTAGTTTGTCATTAGTGACAGGCTGTGATTTATCATGTTATTTGAATTTTTTTATTTTCATTTTGTTTAAATCATCCACAGACTATATTAATTTCACCGGACTGTAGCGTTAAACAAAATGAACAAAATTTCGAATAATGAAAATCTTTTCAGATAAATCTTTGTGATTATAATGTTGGTCTTGCAGGAAGTGATGAGCAGGGTTTATCATTACAGGAAATGACTGACATCCTGCTGTTGGGTATTTTAGTCATTAGGTGAGGTGAGGTGAGGTGAGGTGAGGTGAAATTGGGTTTAACGTCGTGCTTGAGAATATTTCGCTCATATGACGACGTGTATGCGTGTGTATGTGTATGTGCGGCTGCTTGTACTAGCCCAGACTGAAGCTGGTTTTATAGTGCTAGCCCACTGAGATACCATGCCGCAGTGAAGCATGAATACCCCACTCAGACACATTATACTGACTCCGAGCCGACCAGTCCTTGTTGTACCCATTAATGCCGAGCGCCAGGCAGGTACCAACAAGTACCATATTTTAACGTCTTTTTGGTATGACGCGGTCGGGGATCGAACCCGCGACCTTCCGCTCTCCGGGCGGGCGTTCTAACCAATACACAACGGAGGCGGTCTTTAGTCATTAAACGAAATGACTGGTCTTAGTTGTGGGTACATTATTGTGGGGAAAGTATCTTTCTTAGGAGAGTCAACACTGGTTATTGTTTGGCGTTGACGTTTTATGACGGAAAATATAAATCATTTTGGCAAAAGTGACATTTATCATGACTAATATGAGAAAACTGTATTTCGAGACTTTAAGTATGTTCTTATAAGGGCATCATTTTTTAAATATGATCCACGTAGCCACCAAATTCTGAACATGGGTCGGTCGGTCGAAACTAAAAAAAATTAAAAAAACAAAATTACCCGAATAATGTTCTTGATTTTCATTTATTGTAATTCTTATTACAATTTCTCGCGTTCTTTGGACTTGTGGCAGCGACTGATTAAAACATTTTAGATAGATAAACATTTTATATGACGAGGCAGTACGTGTTAGGTAGCGGAGGGGGGAAGTCACCAATAAAATTAGAAGGGTCGGTCGGGCGATGAGAAACGCAAAAAATAAAAATGCTGCCCTGACTAATATGAGAAAATTGTATTTCAAAACTCGAAGTAACGTCAAGAATCAAGCATTGTCGTATCACATGTGCAGATTTGATCTGTTGGTGAAAGCGATACCCCTTATCGAATGTTTAACATTTTAGTAATAATTTTCATCAAAACCTTGACATGACTGAACAATTACCACATATGTAATTAATTAAAGGGCAATGTTGGATTTAGTACATGGAAATATATTTCTGTGGGAGTATTCCATATATTTCTGAATGCTATGTTACCATCATTATTATAGCATCATACGACCACTCTTTACAGTACAGGTGAACACTGTCAGTTTGAAGGTATGTAGTGTTTAATTTGCCATTAAGGCAAACAGGACGTCGGATGGGGAAAAACGATTTCCGATAATCAAACACATGTCCTACCCACAAACCAGGTCCTCACCAGAACGTCTTCATCTTTAGCTGAAATAACGATCAATGTGAATGTTGGCTCCAAGCGCTTCATTTTGTGATCGCAGCAAGGTTCTGACGAAGAGATGTAAAATATTGACATAAGTATCCACCAGGAGATTTATGGAGATGCATGCACACACATTGTGGGAATAACCAACTAATGCTACCGTCGATGGAACACATGTGTCCTTGAAGTATATACTATATGCATACTGTGTGCGTAATCGATAAAGTAGATGTGCTTAATGTTTGTTTTGTTCTTAAACATTCTCAGCGCAAGCTTAAGTGGTGTATTTTTCTGGTAAATTGGGATGCTCGTATATTGTTTGCAAATATTGCAGATCTTGTTAATCAGGTTTATTTTGTCTTCTTTACTATGTGTACTTTTGTGGTGAATAATGGAAGGAAACGTCACTGTGTTGTTATCAATAGAGTTTCTAAAGTACATGAGAGTCGAAATATGTTATGTCATTGGTGAAATAAGAAATTTGTGAAAAAAATGATAATGATACTGATAATCATTATGATAGTGTGTTGTGTCAAGATATGTCAACTGATAATCATTATGATAGTGTGTTGTGTCAAGATATGTCAACTGATAATCATTATGATAGTGTGTTGTGTCAAGATAGGTCAACTGATAATCATTATGATAGTGTGTTGTGTCAAGATATGTCAACTGATAATCATTATGATAGTGTGTTGTGTCAAGATATGTCAACTGATAATCATTATGATAGTGTGTTGTGTCAAGATATGTCAACTGATAATCATTATGATAGTGTGTTGTGTCAAGATATGTCAACTGATAATCATTATGATAGTGTGTTGTGTCAAGATATGTCAACTGATAATCATTATGATAGTGTGTTCTGTCAAGATATATCAACTGATAATCATTATGATAGTGTGTTTTGTCAAGATATGTCAACTGATAATCATTATGATAGTGTGTTGTGTCAAGATATGTCAACTGATAATCATTATGATAGTGTGTTGTGTCAAGATATGTCAACTGATATGTCAACTGATAATCATTATGATAGTGTGTTGTGTCAAGATATGTCAACTGATAATCATTATGATAGTGTGTTGTGTCAAGATATGTCAACTGATAATCATTATGATAGTGTGTTGTGTCAAGATATGTCATCTTGTTCCCAAGTCAAAGCCTGCTATACATGATAGCTATGTTACAGGGACTAATTCAGGACAGCCATCGTCCAAATATTTAAAAAGTAAAAAACTATGTATTCAAGACATGTGAGACTTTATTGTAAGTATTTATATGATGCTAATCTGTATTCTATGTAATCCTTATCACTTCCTCATTGTACATTGACTTGTCAGGCAATTAATTACTGTATATGACATTTATAACCTTAATTGGTCATCCCCCTTGGCCGTGTCTGCCATCACATCAACTGGTCAAGGAAGTGCTATTTTTTTTCTATTTGTCCATTGTTGAGTCGTCGCCTGTCCATTGTTGTCAAAAAGTGTATATATACTTAGTATGCTCACATCTATAGTGGGAAGGAGTCGAGTCCGGTATACCGACTGCTTGTGTAAGGACGACCGCGAGCAGGATAATGCCGCTCGTG